ATCAAAAGCCCTGACGTCATAAACCCGACGAAAAGATACAAGGCACAGAAGAAGTGTAAATTTGGCCGACAACTGTCGTAGAGATAGGTCCTTGTTCTCCGGCCATTCCTGAATGAAATCCAAAACCTGGTGCACGTCCCAGAGGAATGTATATTTAGGAGCCGGTGGACGTGACAGTCTGATTCCTCTCAAGAGTCTACAAATCAAGGGGTCTTGTCCGATAGGTGTCCCCTGAAGGGGAACATAAGCAGCTGAAATGGGCGATCTGGCAACGTTGACCAAACGATATGACCTCCCTTGATCGAAGAGATGCGATAGGAAATTCAATACGCTGGCTACAGGTGCTGTAAAGGGATCGATACTCCGTTCCAGGCACCATCGACACCATATGGCGGACAAATAGCATCTCCTCGTTTCTGGGGCCCAAGAGTCCCAGAGGAGGGTCCTAGCTGATCCCAATAATTCATTGAGTTTCCAGGTACCCCAGAAAGTGTACAAGCCACCAAGTGGAGGTGGCCTTCCAGTACGAGGGGGTGATGGTTGCCTCGTGAGTCCGACAGGAGTGTCTGCGGGGACGGAAGGAGCAGCGGGTCTTGACATGACGGCTCCAGTAATTCTGGAAACCAAGCCTGGCCTTGCCAAAGAGGTGTCAGCAACACCAATGATATCTGTTGGCGTTGTAATTGGAGTAGGACCCTGGAGATCATAGTGAATGATGAAAATGAAGGCCAGTCCTGAAGGAAAGCATCCACTGCTGCGCACGTCGGGTCCGGAACCCAACTGAAATAATTTTAAAACCTGTAAGTTCGTTCTGGAAGCGAACAGATCCACGGTGAATGGGCCCCTCCATTGCGCCACTTCGAGGAAGATCGGCTGATGTAGTCGCCAATCGCTGGCATCCCTCCAGTGTCTGGAGAACCAGTCCGCTGTGAGGTTCGATACACCCGGGAGGTACTCCGCCTGAAGAGTGATATTGCGCTGAAGGCAGACGTTGTCCCAGGCAGTTGATATACTGTACCGCTGATATATTGTCCATTCTCAGCAGGATGCAGTAAATCGACAGATGACCAGCGAGGCTTTGTATTGCGAATGAGCCCGCAATCATTTCTAGGCAGTTGATGTAATATCCTGCTTCTGTGCGTGACCAGGGGCCCCCCGTGGAGGCGGTTGTGCAGGTCGCTCCCCAGCCCCATAGGCTCGCATCCGATTCCAGGTCAAAGTCCGGAGTCGGGCCGAAAATCACCTTGCCGTTCCAGGCTGACATGTGTAACAGCCAGCAGCGAAGTTCGGTCTTGACTTCTTGCGAGATGGGAATCAGCTGGTCATAGGAGGGTTTCCTGCGTAGGAAGCGTGCTTTCAGGCGCTGCATGGCCCTGTAGTGAAGGGGTCCTGGGTAGATGGCCTGGGGTGTCGGATGGTGCGCGGGTCGAATAGGGGTTCGCCCGTTGCGTCCAAGAACACATCCTCCCCAAAGGAGGAGTGTAGGTGTTGCAAAGTGTTCTCACCGGTTTCCTGTTGGTATACAAACTCCTCCGGGTCTTCCTCACCTGCCTTCGTCCTCCGAGGGGGATTGATCCGCCCGCCACTCATCTTGTATTGGACAGGGGTGGGGGAAGAGTGAATTCTTCTTCCTCTTCGGGGGAGTATCTTGGATGTGCCAGCGGTCTTCCGCTTGAGACGCTTCGCAGGAGCCTTACCCTTCCGGGTTTTTGGCTAAGGGCCTTCACCCTTCCAGTAGCGCTTAGGTGCGTGTGTCTGGTATCTGTCCGGTAACTCAGGGCCGGACTCTATCAGCGTGCGCTGAGTCTCTGATATATCCCTATCTTGGGATGTTTGGGGTAGCATACGTGAGAGCTCTTTCTCCATGGAAGCGGCCACAGCCGCGTTAATCATTGCCTGTAGGCTATCATGGGTTGGAGCGTCCATATTCTGATTGTAGCGTGACCCTGGGGGTAGAAATGACAGGTGTCATCCCAGCTATTATGGGAGCAATGTATATGGACACAATTCCTAGTGTCTATAGTGTGGTCAGGGTGGTCCCCCAGTAACTTCTCCCCGTATAATTTCCTAGGCCTAAGGCCGGAAAGGATTTAGGCACGGAACAGTGCCAACTTATCAATAGGGCACTGTCAGGGCAGGCCAGTCACAGGGCACAGAGAGAGCAGGCCGAAATATGGGCACAGTCAAAGCAGGCCAGTCATGGGGCACAGACAAAGCAGGCCGGTCAAAGGGGCACAGACATAGCAGGCCAATCAATGTGGCAAAGACAAAGCAGGCCAGGTCACTTATAAATTGTGTATAATGTAGTTTCAAGGGTCACTGTAGGGGAGCGCTCTTTAATTGCAAACATAGATC